TAGATCTAGAGATAGATAAAGATAAAATATATTTAAAAGTTAAAAAATGTATCATCTATGTTCTTGAAGAGATATTTACTAAAGCCGAAGCAAACAGGTCGTAAGCCTTATTATTGTACTAGCCATTGCCCTCGCCATATAACATAGTTTTTGAGTATTGATATAATTGCATTGCATTAGTCAATTGGCAGTAAACTTGCATGCTTGAGACATTTGGTTATTTTATTAACGGGGCCATCTATAAGCTGCGGGGCGGGGTAAAACCGCGGGGCGGAAAGCTAACAAATTAAAATAAATTTTACATTGTAAAAGTTACCTCGCTGTCAAAAATCTGGTTGCACAATCTATTATATTACAAAACTACAAACAATTTTAAGCAAACTTGCAAGTGCCCTTTAATCCCTTAATCCGGCCAAACCCATTCTTAGCTAAAATGTGGCTTCGTGATTAATGTGTATCTTTTTGCTTTTACATATATTTGCCCTTAACCCCTTATCTAGTCTTATTGCAAAATCAAAGATTTCATTTTCAAGGTTAATGTGTATCTTTTCGCTTTTATACAGGTATAATATTTGCAGCTCCCTTAATCCGGCCCATTTTTAAAATCTGTTCTTAGATGATATGTTTAATGATTATAGGTTAAATAGTTTTCGAGATTTCGTGACTAATGAGTGAGTATCTTTTTGCATTTATATACAGGGTGTTCCTTAATGATATGCGAATATTTAAGGGTGTGAATCTACATGAAAAGTTAATGTTAGTTTGCTTTATAAACTATGGCCTAAAAATGTTTCCTTACAAAAACTAGGGTTGTTGAAGTTTTAGGAAAAAAATGGAAATTAATTAATATTTTCAGAACCGCTTCAGATATCTCACTGATATTTAGTACGAAGTGAAAGTTAATAAAGTTGCATATTTTTCAATGCAAAAATCATTTTAAGCTTTGACAGTGGCGAGCGTACGTAAATAAAAATTATTTTTGAATTCCCCGTTCAATTCGAAATAAATAATCTCTCTTGAATTGTTTTCCTTTGATGCGCCATTTTTAAGTAAAAAAATAAAAACCGTTCTATTGTCTAACTTGCAAAATTATTATTAATTTAATCGGAAGAATTAAACACACTAGGGGTAATGAACAACAACAACTGACAACATAAACATGACATGAAAACCAACGAAATTATTACAAAAATTGTTGAAAATGGCTCCCTTCACTTAGTATGCCTGCTTCCGCCCTTCTTCTCATGGAATTGCGCACTCGTTGAAATATCCCAAGCTGCAACTATTCTTTCTCTTAATTCCTCTACAGTGTAAATGGGACTTGTGTACACTAGTGTGTTAAGATAGCCCCACAAAAAGAAATCTAAACTGGTGAGGTCAGAGTACCTTGGTGGCCATTCTTGGGGCCCACCGCGGCCAATCCAATGATTTGGATAAACAGTTTGTTAATAATTACGAACCGCTACACTGAACATCATCAAGCAGCAAAGGCAACTGTTGTTGAAGAAAATTGAGGGTAAGTCTGTCCGTCAAGTCGTCCCGGCAAGAAGAATGGGCCAATAAAGTGGTTGCCAATAATTCCTGCCCATACGTTAACCGAAAATTGGTGTTGGAAATGGGTTTCGGTTACGGCATAGACATTTCCTTCTGCCCACAAATGATTATTGTGGAAATTCTGAATGGCAGTTCGAGAAAAATTAGCTTCGTCCGTGAACAGAATTATTGATTCATATTGCGCATTTTGTGTAATTTTTTGAAGATACCACTGACAAAAGATCACACGCCTTGGAAAATTAATGGGAAGTAATGCCTATACTCTTAAAATATAGTAAGGATATAACAAAAAATCCACTAAAATTCTCCAAACAATTTGATGGCAAATATTTAAGTGTTTAGCCATCTTCCTCGTACTCGTTTCAGGATGTTCTTCGACTTCGTGCAGCACTGCTTCCTCAATTTCAGGAGTTCTCACACTGAGAGGTCTACCTTCAGACGTTCCTTTTCGGACAGAACCAGTTTCAACAAGACGAAGATGAATATTAGTAAAGGTTCGAATATCTGGCAAAGCACGATCGGGATATCTCTGGTGATAAATCCGTCTGGCTTGCTCACCATTACCGTCGGCAAGGCCATATACGTAATGCATTTCCGCCATTTCTGCATTTGAATAATTCACAATTATTAACAAGATTATAAAGATTTGGATAACAGAGACTTGTCAGATGTCAAAAGCCAGTGACATATTCCAGAGCAACTATATATTTATTGCTAAATTGCATTCCTCAATTATTACATTAATTTTCTCGGACAATAGAACGGTTTTTATTTATTTACTCAAAAATGGCGCATCGAAAAAACAATTCAAGAGAGATCATTTGTTTTAAATTAAACTGGTAATTCAAAAATAATTTTTTATTTGGCAAAAAACCATTGGAGTACCATTTTTTTCTTGAAACATATCAAAGTCAATACCCGTACGCACGCCACTGTTGAAGCTAAACATTATTTTTGCATTGAAAAATATGCAACTTTATTCACTTTCACTACGTGAAATGTCTGAAGCGGTTCTGAAAATATTAATTAATTACCATTTTTTCCTAAAACTTCAACACCCGGAGTTTTTGTAAGGAAACGTTTTTGAACCATAGTTTATTAAGCAAACTAATATTAATTCTTCATGTAGATTCACACCCTTAAATCTTCGCATATCACTAAGGAACACCATGTTTATCTGCCCATAACCCCCTTGTTCCCCCCCTATCGAAAAATTAGTTTTCAGATGACACGTCCTGGGACCTAATTCTAAATGACGTCACATTGAAGTTATCATGGTGAAGTTGAAATTCTGAAGGCGGAGCATATGTGTATGGGTCATACTTTAGCGATCAGTCACCAGACGATCAAAATTATAATCAAATTCAAGCGGATAACCAAATGGAAATGGTATTTACCATTTTGGGTTGGTATTTACCGATCCGTTCAAGCGAGTGTAGTTATCCGTTTGGTATAAGATCCGTGACGTCACAAATCAGCTGTTATATGTCATAGTTATCACCGCAAAATTGTGGTATTTACCCAACTTAAGAGTAGTTTTATATTTCTGGTTATTATTTGAAATGTGACAAGTTAGAATTTTGCCGGGTATTGGATATTGTTATTGGACTTCAGCTTCATTTTTGAGAAAATTGATACAGGCTGACTTCAGTTTTACCATAAAGTGGAGCACCTTATTAGTTATACTCATTACGGTTGTTGGGGACACTTTAAATGTAGTTCCTATGCTTAACAAAGTATCCTGTGTAGCCATATACCACAAGAATATTAAAATATGGCCATATAAACTCACTAGATGATATCCACTTGTATACAGTTTTGCTGATTTCTTTTTTCATCATTTCTGCTGAATCAATAAATGTTTTCTTTGACATGCGGAAAAATTTAGAGAATTGAAAGTTATCATAGCTACAAAGCCATGGTTCCATCATTAAAAAACAGAAATCTGAAAAAACATTTCTCCCATGAATATTATGAAAGGTTTCTTATTTAAACTTTCCATACACAAATGTAGACGAAAAAGCACCGATTAGTAAGTGATAATAAAAATAATCATAGATTATATACGCGCTTTTCTAAAATAAACAACTTGCAACAAAACCGCGGTTAAAACCAACGCGTTCAAGCGATTCGTGTAACTGACGTCATCAACCCGTGTGTCATCTTGAACCATATTATAACCGCGGCACATAACACATAAATTTTGGTTATTCGCTTAGATTTGATTTATGTTTGCGACATGTTTGCGACTGACCTAATTTGTAGATGATGTTTCGTTGTCAAATGTTAGTGTTTCTGCCTCGTTTTCGTTGAATAGTCGTCTTGATTTAACATAATGGCCTACGCTTTTGTCCATTACCGAATAGTTCCTGAACTACAAGAAGAGGATGATCGTCGGAACCCTCGTGTGTGCCGTAGGATGTTAAGGAATAGCCAAAATCCATTTTGTATTCCCGACCACTAATCCAGAGTGAAGGATTTTGGAATTGTTGGATCAATTATTTATCCTTCCTGGCAAGACTGAAGATCAGTAGGCAAGCACACTGGAGGTTTGAGGAATCAGAAAATTGAGGCTCATCGAAACATTCAATGAAAATATTGTTTCCCCATTGTTCATGGTTCAAAAAGATGTATAGGGCGACAAAGAGAAGAAATAGATGGTCAACTAGCTTTCAGAATGATCTGTGAATTTTATACACACCAGTAAAATGTATTTAGTAGCTCACTTGTTCACGTTGTACATTAGTATTTATAGATTTTTAGGTATCGTCAAACTTATTTTTCTGAGCTCCTCATTGATTAATGAAGCATCTAAACAATGTATGGATCACCTATATGGTTGGGTTTACGATCTCCCATGAGATCTTGTTTAAATGTTGCTGACCCAATTTATTTCGACCGATTCTGTCAAAAATGTCAAAACTGGTCAAAATACATAACTACAAATCAAATGTTCTGACATAAAATCAGTTAATAAAACGTATTTTCCTAACTACAGATACATGGTAAGAGTTTCTTGTCATTTAATTTTTAATTTTATATTCCATTTTAAAATCTATGTTTGTCTTGTCACGTGGTGACCCTGTAAAGAGCGGCATATTTTCCAAGTAAGCAGCGTATAGTTTTCTACAATTTTTGTAAATAGCTTAAAAAATGACGGAGCTAACGACCGATAATACACTAAAGATTCACTCTGTGTGCATACCTATATAAGTTTAGCTACGTGCAAAGAACCTCCACAAATTATAAGAATAACGAGTCTATCATTCATCAGCAAAGATTCTGAATAGCAGTATAAGCATAAGGTGTGTATTGAATGATTTCTTATATTGAATTAAATGGTCAAGTCTATATTCACTTTTCTTAAAAAAACATTTCACACGGTTCACCTGCGTATTATGAAGCCATGTGAAACCGAAATGTCGATAAACTCATGTTCATTATCTGTGGTTTTATTAAGTATAATAGCATGGAGACAAATCAGTGATACAAGTGCAACATAAGTTACAGAATATTTATATATATATATATATATAATTCAAATACTACATTTCTGTTAAATTAAAACTCTTATGTGATACGCATTTAATTCAATTATTACATACAATAAGCTGAAATCACTGCCGCAGTGAGTTATCAAATTTCTCCCACTCATTCTTGTGTTCCTGAAAAAATATATTACGAGTATATGTAATTAAGTTTACGATAAAATTTACAGCCAATATTTGGTCTTAAGGTCGAATACTCTGAACGGCTAAGGGCTGGGTAACAATGTAATCATTTTAGTTAGCTTTTCCAGTCAATATATATGTACAACAGTACAACACGATTAAGACTCACTTTTCCAATTGTTCCAATAGATAGACTTTGTCCCAGTTTCGTATTCGCCATGATAATTTCAATCACATTTCACAGTAGCCACCATTTTTCAGCAGACGCCAGGCTATGACGTCATTGTAAAGAAAATGTGATTTATCCCATAGATCAGTGATGCCAGACTTACGAGTTTATCATCTGAACTACGGATTTTAGGATTTATAAGCAAAACACAAAACTAAACTGAATGGCAAAATGTCTCTAGATTCCTTGGCATTGGAATAATGTTGTTTTTTTCTTCTTATGTATGTACGTTATTTTGAGATTTTTCGCTCCCAAACTGGCAAGTACATATCGTATCCAGAAACAGGGCGGAACCAGCCTTCGTATCGGCTGTACATTGAAGAACGGGGCTGGAGGTAAGCTGCGTCGTCTGCTGCATCAGTGCGTCTAAGATCAAAATATCCTGATGACATTTGAAGGGCGGGGATGGTATCAATAATTAAAAATCGTAGAACGGGGGCTTGTCTGCATCAGTACTTTTAGTAGTGAATGCCCTTGTTACGAATGAACACCGGAGGCAGGTCTGGCTTTCATTTCACAAAATGCTCTATTATAAAGGCATCTGGTGGAGAACTTATGCCCTAAGGCACCCAGCCCCTGAATAGTCTAGTAAGTCCATAAATACATGTATATTAAAATACACTAACAAAGTAAGAGACCTGCCTTTGTTTACGAGGGGCCAATTATTTAAAAGTATTGTGACGTAAAGTGTCTGCGCTATGTATACTAAGTGACATATAAATCCAAACACCCAGTTTAAATGGTTTTATTTTAATAAAAGTTGGTGAATGTATTTATCTTACTGTAAATAAGAAGTGAAAAAATTTTCAGCCTTATCAGTTGGACATTCCGGTTTTTATACTGCTTTTTTTTTAATTCACTAACGCTCTAAAAATGAATATTTCAGCCGCAGTAAATAATAAACGTTGGCGGATTTTGGTTCTTGACATCCTTTACGATCGGTTACGATGCCTAGAGTACGGAGACCTGTACGATTTCGTCAACTTAGTGAGTTTGATAGGGGCCGTATAGTGGGACTTCGGGAAGCTGGACTTTCTTTTCGGGCAATTGCAGTTAGAGTGCAAAGAAGTGTAGACACTGTGGTTAGGTGTTGTCAGGCATGGCTTCGAGAAGGCCGTACGCAAAGAGCAAGGGGCACTGGACGCCGCCGTAGAACAACTGACCGTGAAGATCGCCGCCTAAGATTATTGGCCTTAAGGGACCGTTTCTTCACTACCACGTCCATTGCAAATGAATGGTTTGCAGAACACGGAAGACCTATTGGCATGCGAAGTGTTTACCGACGAATGAGGAGTTTTGGCTTGTTTTCATATCGGCCACACTGGGTCCTCCCTTTAACTCGAGAACACCGACGTAATTGCCTTGAGTGTGCAGACAATGGTCACTCTGGGATCAGGAATGGAACAGTATTGTCTTTAGTGACGAGTCTCGATTTTGTTTAGGCATGCACGATGGTCGTACCAGGGTTAGAAGGCGACGTGGTGAAATGGGGAATCCACAGTTTTTTGTTGAAAGACATGTTCATCACACTGTTGGAGTTATGGTTTGGGGTGCTATAGCTTATGGTTCCAGGTCACCTTTAATCTTCATCAGAGGTAACATGAACGCGCAGCGTTATATCCACGAAGTTCTAGAACCCCATCTTTTACCCTATCTTGACACCCTGGCAGATCCAACTTTCCAACAAGATAATGCCCGACCACATGTTGCAAGAGTCACAATAGACTTCTTTCAACATAATGATGTCACATTGTTACCATGGCCACCAAGATCTCCCGACTTATCCCCAATTGAGCACGTGTGGGATATGATGGGTAGGAGATTGCTCAATTTGCAACGTCCTCCTCAGACTCTAGAAGCACTTCGAGAGGAGTTGGTGGTTGCCTTGAATGAGATACCACAGGAGGATATTGACCACCTGATCAGAAGCATGCCTAGGCGCGTTGGAGAATGCGTAGCACATCAGGGTGCATCCACACATTATTAAAGGTCAAAGGGCTTTAAAGCAGTGCAATCATTTTGAAATTTTTATCATTTACTTATTATGCTTCATTAAGTACTTATACAAAATTTTATTAAAATAAAACCATTTAAACTGGGTGTTCGGATTTATATGTCACTTAGTATATTATATACAATTGATTTATAAATACCGATATCGCAACTTGACCGCACGGAATGGAACTTTTCAATATGAAAGGTTGCATTTTTTATTTGACTTGATCCAAGCACATTCAAATTTCGCACCACTTCTGTCGATACATCGGCTTCAAATATTTACGGACCTTTGTCCACTCAATGGTATACATGTAATGATAGAATAGATCCGTAAACACTTCAATATGGACGCAGTTTTCTACAATGTCTATGTTTACGGTTTATATCGCTATATGCAGTTACTATAATGATTATTCTAAAAGCCTCTCTACACTTTCGCGAGAATCCCTCAAGAAAGCGAGAAAATCATGAGAAATGTGATTGTGGAACCGAGAACAGGCGAGAACTTGTATTGACTCCACACGTCCACAATCGCATGTTTCTCAGTGGCAGGTGACTCGCCGATTAGAACAGTTGTGCATGTTATTAACTAACTGAGCATCAATATGAGCCGGATTTGGACGAACGAACTAGAATTGGCATTCCTAGAATATTTTCAAGCAGAACCAATTTTGTGGAATACAAATTTAAAAGTATATAAAAATAAACTAGAAGCCCGTGATGCGATGCGTGCAAACGTATTAATACCTTAATGGAATTACCCATTGAAGAATTAAAAAGAAAAAAAAAACGTTAGTAGCCAGCTACAGAGGGTATAAAAATAAAGTCAAGAAATCGCAAAAATCTGGTGCTGGGACGACATGTCATTCTGCGTCCATCGTCATCGAGCACTAGAACTGTATTGAGAACCTAGAGAGTGCGGCCCAAAGAAGTTCTCGCCGAGATTTTCGCTGAGATTCTTGCGGATTTCAAAGCCGCTCGACACTCACGCAAGAATCTCGCCGATAATCTCGGCAAGAATCTCAGCGAAAATCTCGGCGAGAACTTCTTTGGGTCCATACCCGCAAGGTTCTCAATACAATACTCGATGACGATGGACGCAGAATTGAAGGTAGTCGACACCAGCACCAGATTTTTCCGATTCATTGACTTTATTTTAATACCCTCTGTAGCTGGCTAAAAACGAAGCTTTTTGCTTTTTAATTCTCCAATGGGTAATACCATCAAGGTACTAATACGTTTCCACGGATCGTGGGCTTTTAGTTTATTTTTATGTTCCTTTAAATTTGTATTCCACAAAATCGGTTCTGCTTGAAAATATTCTAGCAATCCTAATACTAGTTCGTTCATCCAATTCCGAATCATATTGATGCTCAGTAGTAAATACCACGCACAACTGTTCTAATTGGCGAGTGACCTGCCTCTGAGAAACATGCGAGTCTGGAGTCAATACAAGTTCTCGCCTGTCCTCGTGTTCTCAGCTCTTTTGTCTCGCGACAAAAAAACCGACAAAGATCGGAGAACAAGCCGAGAACCTGCGAAGATTATGAAAATCGGTGCCACAATTCTCATGTTTTTCTCGCTTTCTCTCGAGTTATGCAAAATTTATTAGCAACCAACAGTGATTAACGAACAACCCAGTAAAAGTCTCAACATTAAAGTTCGATAATATCATTGTTCTAGCGACTCCCAGCGGTCGCCGCCAATTGGAATCGGGTTCCTGCTAATATACAGGGTGTTTCAGAACTATGGATCAAACTTGTAGGGGTTACTCTGTGTAGCAGTAGAAAACATTTGAGTATAGGGACCCATATCCGGCGCTTGTGTGTTATCTTTAAAAACGATAACAGAGATTGTTTTTTGTAGCTGCATTCCATATCGCCTTAGTGGTGCTATCGTATTTGTGATGTTTGCAAGAATTTAACAAAAATTAATTGTTGCTAATGGAAAACTTTACCAATCAAGAATTGGCGGATATGCATTTGGCATATGGAGCAACAAGCTGCAATGCACGAGCAGCAGCACGGTTGTATCAAGAACGTTATCCCGAACGACAGCATCGGAGATACAAAAAGTTTATTGCTATTCATCGGCGGCTCTCCGAGACAGGCATGTTTAAAACCAAGATGCATGATACTGGTGTTGTTCGAACCGTAATAACAGTCGAATTTGAAGAAGAGGTCCTTCAGCGAGTTGCCGGCGAACCATCAAGTAGCACACGTCACATTGCTGAGGATATGAATACGAGTAACGCTTCCGTCTGGCGGGTGCTACACGAGCAACAACTTTATCCTTACCACTTCCAGAAAGTTCAGGGATTGACTGCAGCCGATTATCATCCTAGAGTTCAATTTTGTCAATGGCTTCATCAAATCGCTGCACAACCAAATTTTTTACGCTATGTTTTATGGACCGATGAAGCCTCTTTCACAAGAGACGGTCTTTTTAATACTATGAATAGCCACGTTTGGGACAAAGAAAATCCCCATGTAATGTTTCCTAGAAAACATCAGCAACGTTGGCCTGTCAACGTATGGGCAGGCATTGTTGATGATTATTTGATTGGGCCATACCTTCTACCGGAACGGTTATCAGGACCTATTTACCGGCGTTTCTTGAAGGAAGTTCTTCCAGAACTTCTTGAAAATGTTCCGTTGAACGTTCGACAGCAAATATGGTTTCAGCATGATGGAGCGCCGGCTCACTTTGCTGTACAAGTACGTGAGTATTTGGCTCAGCGGTTTGGGCACCGTTGGATTGCCAGAGG